TATTTCTGGTTCATCGATAGAACCACAATTGATAAATCACAGCGGACACTGTGCTCAGGCTAGAATACCAAAAATCAGTTGCAACGAGCTCTGTTATTTACACACAATCAGCATAAAAAGCTGATGTTTTGATAGTGAACAGAACTGAAAATGAAAAAGAAACCCAACAATTGGCGAATCTAATTCGCAGAGGACTTGCCAAAGTATTCATAAACTTCGACTGAGGAAAATGGCGAAAGCTAACCTTGCTGAGCGCGCTTGCTCTAGCTTATCGCTGATGGCAAATCAACTGAAAGCAGTGGAGCAAGAATCAAAATAGTTCCGCATGCCTCAAAGCGGAAGTTCAAACAAGTGAGAGTGCTCCAGTTGCCGGTATCCGACTAGCAGATACCCTGAAGCCAGCTTCGAGCTGCTAATTTAAGCATTTGAAACGAGAATTTCGGTGTAAATAATATTTCCCAATTGTGGAAGCGAATTTATATATCTAGCATTTATAACTATTTATAACCATGACGAAATTCGATATTAATTGGTATAATAAAAAAGGAAGGAACTGGCTATAAACAGTAATAAACTTGTTCTGTGTCTGATATTCGAGAATATATATTTTAAATTTCTATGACTAGCTTTTGTAGTTTCCACATTTCAACAAACTGACAAACAGACGGACCTGGCTAGACCAACTCAGCTCGACAAGAATATATTAACGATGTTTCCTTCTGGCTGTTACATACGAATACCCAAAGAGGTCATACCCTATTAGCCCGTTTCCAAGGACCAGAGTATATAAGAACTGAACCAACTTAAATTTTCAGCACAGAAAAGGTCGGATAAACTTTGCGACAAAAGTGAATATAGGACTACATATGAACAGAGTATCATCGAAGGAGGATAACGCTCAATATGATAAATAACAGATGAGCAAAGAGTGTCAGCAATGCTCAAAGGGGATGAGTCGGATTCATTTCTTGTTGAAAGTATGTTAGCGAACAAACACATGTCGAGACGATTCTTAAAAAACAGTGCCAGGCGACAAAGAAGTCAAAAATGCGATAGCACTGTCTCACAATTCCAAAAATGTCGATGTCACTTAAAATTTTATAAATTTTATGTTTCACCCTGCGTCACTTTAAACAAATTTCTTGCCCATGGTGCTTCCAAGTATATGTATCGCTACAATAGCCAAATATTTACTTGGACTACCCTATATACTCGACATATATGCCGACATGTCGTTGTTCCAGCCATAAATTAGGCATCACTGTGAGCTTGTCATATTTGTCGCCTGCACAGAGCGCAGCACAGGTCCCTTTCTTTAGCATGTCCCCAGCTGCAGGCCCTGGCAATATTTTGAAAATACATTGACTGTGAGAATGTCATGAATATTAAATTGCGATGATTGCCTTTGGCTATGTGCTGTCATAGTCATACCCTTGTTGTCCTAACCCAACTTGGCCAGGTTTTCGTGCTTTTACCTTTACCGTGCTGTGCATTGGCAAAGTTTGCTTTGGTTAGTTGGCGTTGATAAGCTGCCTGCGCTGATTCAGTTCATCACTCGTCGAGCTTAATTAAATGCACTTTAATTAAGTCAAATATTAAACAAAGCTGCTGGCCATGAATGCATGCCTGGAACGTCAAAGCTCGTATATGTGCTTTGGTAGATAAACAAAGGGGAACTGAAACGGGTAAAAAAAAGAATCAAAATCAAGCTGAGTGCCCTGTTCGAAACCAAAAGATGCCCTGTACTCAGCGCCGAGCTGCTGTACAAAAAAAATCGATTATCGGAAACAAACTTCTACTGCGCTGGCACTAGAAGAAATTACGTTCAAAATATCTTTTGCTGTAAATGGATGGAAAGACAGACAAACGGACAGACGGACGGACGGGGCTAGATCGACTTACTTATGCCTTTACATACATTTCCACAAAATAATTATACCCTCTTTACCCATTTTCAGTTGTTTCGGTGTATTTAAACATTCAAGCTAAGTCAAGTGTTTCTTGAATTATTTTTGTATATAATTTCTATTTTACCAGGCATTCAGATGGCATCCGATAGTATTAGTTGTGTACCCTGTAGCAGTTGAATATGGGCTCGAAAAGTGTGTTGCTATGACGAAGATAATTATTTTTATAAAAAAAAAAGACTATGTATAACGATTTTTTATGTTATGCCATGCTACAAGTCCTATGAATAGACTTAACGTTGAACAATAAGATTGCGCAAAAATATAAAATGGAAGCTTGGTTGATACTAATCAAAATAATGAATAGAATATATTTGAATATTTCGCAGGTTCGTTTAGCATTTGGTTTTTATTAAAAAATGTTCATTTAGTTAAAAGCTAAAAATAACTGAGAGATCAACTTTCTGTGTGTTTTTGGTGCCAGGACATTGAATTTGATGTCAATCAGATTCAGTTTCAAATTATTTGTACACCAAAAACAATATATTTCACAAAAATAAAAAAAACGAAAATTCTAAATTATTTAGTTTTTAGCCATGATTCGAATTTCGAGCTGTTTGCCCGTTGTGCTGAAAAAAATGTACAATTCAAAGATGCGTGAAAAAAAGCGAAAAGTCTATCCAGCCAATTCCGTATATATTTTAGAGCGAATTTTAAAATTCCTTAAGGAGAATCAAATTTATTCGCAAAGTTTTACCAACCAGGTAAGAATTATTCACATGCACTTTACCACAAAATTCATTTGTTTTTTTTTTTTTTTTTTTTTTGTGAAAGAAACATCAGATCTTTGATCATAATTGCATTGAATCTAAATAGTAGTTGAAATCCCGTTATCAGGTAAGAATATGGTATTATATAATTAATTGGCTTATTAATTGAAATGTAATTTATTCAACAGAAACACCTATGATCTTTATTGTGTTAAGAGTATTTCGCGTTTCTTTTGGTTACTTGCAGTGTATTTTTTGATTTTCTTTTACTTTTACATCTAAATCGAAATGTATGTATACATGTAAAAGCAATCGAAAATATTTAAATACAGTCCAGTAAGGGGCACATTGCAAGGATTTGTTTAAAAGATATATTTTTGTTTTAAACGTTTTCTCTCATCACTTGTTAAGCACAACTGAGTGGCAGAGTTGCACAAACCGTATCCAAAAATAAACTAAGGTGAATTATTCGGAAGATGCCTTAGAGTCGACGAACAAAACTCAAAATGCCTGGCATATAACGTTGAGAGCGTCAGAGGTGCCACGTTCATTGCGTTATATATTTCGTAAATGGAAAATTATAATACCCTTGACAAGGCTATAAAAACAAAGTCTTGTCCTCATCCGCCCACGACAGTCCCCCGCAACACACAAGTGTTTCCAGCACAATTCTATGGCTGCTTTTTAACCAAAGGGATGTTCTTTGTTCTGTAATAGGCAAAGGCCTATTCATCTACAGGATGAGCTTCATATACAATGCATGCTGAGTAGACATACATATATAAACATTTTGCAAGCTAACTTTTCTTGTGGCTGTTGTAGCTCATAAGCTTTTCAAAAGGCGGCCTGAAAAGCAACTGTAATTGAATTTTTCATTGTTTACAAACAAATTATTGTTGACTGACAAAACAGTTAGGCCAACAATATGGAGAATATGCCCTTTTGTAGTAATCACATTTATGTCAAATTGCTTTAGACAACAAATATAAAACGAATGATAAGTATAAATAAATGGGCAAAAGATATCCTAATTTTAAGTAGAATATTTTCTTGTGAGCAATATTTTGCATTTATTTAGCTACTATTACATTGATAAAGTCGCAGTTGCATCTCTTGCGTGGAACTTGTTTTTCATTCACTTTAAACAGATTAACTCAATTACGTTTATTGCATTAAAAGTGTGTAAATGGATTTTTTGAAAGCCTTAAATGTACACATGCTGCATGTTTTAAATTAAAATGTGGCCAATGTATGGCGGCAACGCCGGAACGAACTGAATTTAACATAAATGACACGGCAGGTGTGCCACATAACCAGCTTTCTGAAGTTGGCTCACAAGCACTTACAGCCGGAAAGCAAATAAAATGCTACGAACAGAACTCTGATAGGCAGTGCAATATAAACTGGAGTCTCGAAAAGAACGCAATTAAAGTCCCATCCAATCAGTTCGTAATAACACAGCAGCAATAAAAAGTGTTTAAAGAAGTTAAAGGGACATGACAATCGCACGATTCGGATCCAGAAATTAATGGCAATTAAGAAAAGCATTAAAATTATTTAAAAATTTTAAGACATTTAAGAATCGCTCTTGTTTTCCCTTATCATTTGTAACAAGTTAAGCTCTAAACCAGCTGATGTGAGCCACCAATGCAAGTTGGTGATAATTTATTTATAAGGCAAGACTTGAAGTCGGTCAACATTTAATGTTCATTCGCTCAGCGAGAGCAACACGAAGATTACCTGCGAAAGACAGTTAGTCAGTCAACAGTATTGAATTCTCGATACACAAGCACTCACACACATAAACAGGCACTTCATAACCGGAGGATGGCCAAATACAGCCCCAACCCTACGCTTAGGCAGCGTAGGAGCACCTGATCCCCTTATGCCATCGCACACCCGGCTACTCACACGCAGGTACACACATAAGCACAAACACGCACACATGGCGACATAAGTGTCATTGCTGTTGCCGTGCTCAGTTATTTATGATAATTCAAAGTAATATCCTGCAGCAATTTCATCAACAAAAGCTGAGAGGCTGAGTCGACGGCAAGTAGATGTGTAAAAGCAAATATCCTTTATGGATACCAAGGACACGCTTCGGGCCTCTGGAAAATGGCCTCAACGTGCGAAACGTGCAAATGCCTGTGTGAAAATTGCAAATTTGTTTTTGTATAATTGGTTGTGGCATCAACATAAACATCCACTATGCATGCCACTACTACTAGCCCTGCAAACCCCCACAAGTGCTCAAGTAATTGGCTTTTATTTGCTAGATTATATTTGTTGCATTTCATTCCATGGTGAACTAAAAGGTGAGTAGTTTGTATAAAGAGCAGATCCGTTTATATTTTATATATATTACAAGATACATAAAACATATATTAAACATAATGTGACGACCACCAGCGTGTTGAATGTGTACCGAGCTATGATCGATAGCCTTGCAGGCTTAAAGCAAAATGCATCGTACAATCCTCCTCGTTCATATAAAAAAGTATGTAGGACAGTGAATCTGAGAAGGAGATAAGCCTCAAATTCGCAAATTGCCCTACAAGTGCAGAAGTACATATACATAAATATACACACACGTATGTGCATATAGATCATTTGTTCTCTGGACAAGCCAGTTGGTATAGGAACTGCACCAAGGTGCGCGTGGGTCGTCCGGTCATTCGCCAGCTTTTGAGATAGGGTATGAGTCCATAATGGCTAAGCATGCCGGAGCCACGCGTATCAATATGCGCCCAATCCGCACAGGGCACCAATTCGTGGAGAACGGCTGCCGCCAGACAGGAGTTAGCCAGGCCACGACCGTCGTTGCTAATATCGTAGCCAAGCTCATCGGTAACTTGTTTTTTGAAATACTGCCACAGTGGCAGACGCCACATTCTGTCACCCGTCAGAGAGCCGGCGCGCTGGAACTGCTTCCAGATGTAGTGCGAATTGGAGAAGAGGGCGGAAGCGCCGCCACCGAATGCCTTTTTCGCACCTGTGCCAAGTGTCGCCACATCGACCACTAGCCGAGGCTTGTATGTCTTCTGGCCATAGATCAACGGGTCGGCCATTACCACAACTCCCGCCTTGTCCAGATCTCGTATGGCCAACGATTTGGCATTAAGCAGTGTGCAAACATCGCCTGGCTTTGTAGACATGCCCGACGGCAGATTCTCGCACAGAGGAACGATAAGTACCACATTAATAGGCAGCGACAGAGCCGCAACGCAGCGCAACATGGCAACACAAGATGCGGCACCGGACATTCCCGCCCGATACTCATCCATGTCCTTGCAAGGTCGCAGATTGATGCCTCCCGAGTTAAACGTGATGCCCTTGCCCAAAAAGAGCACAGGCTTGTCCTCTGGCGCAGTGCCGCAATAGCTTATCTCCATAAGCACCGGCGGCTCGCAGGAGCCCTTGGCTATCATGAGAAACGAGTGCATCCGCTGTTGCTCTATCCAGTCCATGGTACGTATTTCGACGGTTATGCCGCAAGGACATAGAGCATCCACGGTGGCCTGAGCGAACAACGTAGGCGTCATGCAGTTGGCAGGCGCATCACTTAAGCGCCGAGCCAGATTTTGTGATTCCGCCTTGAACAAGCCACGCGTCCAGCCGTCTACATCGTTTGAGTCGTACAATTCCAGCTTTGGCACAGTCAGTCGATACTTTTTATTGAGCGTTTCCGTATATTGCCAAACCGATAAGACTGAACCCTCCGCTGCTTGCTCCGCATAATCCATGCTATCAACATAAATATCAGTGCAGCGAAGCCTTTGCAGCGCTTGGGCACCAATGCCAGCAGCAATGCGCACATTCTCCATTCCTTCGTCCAGCATCTCAAGCTCGTTAAAGCCGATACCCTCCAAGCCCACGCCCACCACGGCAACGCTCGTAAATTCTTGATCAATATTGTTGAACACCTTGCCTCGCCCCAGCCGACCATCGATTTTCGTTTCGCATATCAAATCCATCAGCTTGCCATTGATGCGATCGTTAAATTTCTCGGCGCTGTGGGTAAGCTTGGCATCCTTTACACCCTCCTTCTGGTAAATGCCAAGCACTAATCCCTTTGCTCGCTGCTCCTTGCCGCTGCAGGAAAAACGAATGGTAGTAACTATGGGGACTCTATTATAACTGGTATTGACAAAAATTCTTCGCGCACACTGCATCTTGAATGGATACGATAATTTAGTTGCACTTGAAATTTACAAGAACGTTTTTCAAAAAATTAACTAATTGCCTTTATACACAGAAGAAGAGACAAAAACTAAAATAAACACACAAAAATTTAGAAAACACTTTTTTTTTTCAAAATTATCACAGAGCAAAACAACAATACAAGAGCAATGTTTACATTAAACTAACAAAATATCATAAGAAACCAGGCTGTGACAGTTTGACCATTTGACAATTTTTTAAACGTTTGCTGAGTTTTCTAAAATATATATTTATATTTCTTTCGACTGACTGACTTCTTGTGGATTTTGAACAGCTTACATTTCTATCTTGTCTTACTCTCTATCATATACAATGGGATTTCTTCATTGCAATCTCATAATATTTATTTTGTCAGCTGTAAAATATTCCAATTTTGTGTTGTAATATGCCACAATTAGTGCAGGGATCGGAATAATTCATTTTAAAATATGCCCATTCATGTATATAAATTAGGAATTACAAGTATTGTGAAATGCTGGGTCATCTCCCATTTTCAAATAACCTATAAAAAACCCGCATAACTTTGTTGAGGGTAGACTTTCACTGCAGGAGGCTCTAAATTACGAATTGACTTTTACTCTTAATGTAATAAGTATTAGAGAGTTCGATTATATGAAGATAAACTAACTTAAGATAAAGGAATAGCGTGTCGATCCTAAAAAAGTGATGTGTGTAACATGATTGCATTATCATTAGCTCTACAACTGTTGGCTATCTACCTTTCGCTGGGCGTGGCTCAAAATCTGAGCAACTATTTTGAACGTGGTAACTTAATACACTTAATTTCCACATGGTGAGTAGAGCGTAAAATCAACAATTGATGCCTCAGTTGTTTAATTAAAGAGTTAAATATCTATCAATTATATGGTATCTAGTTAGTTGGATAATAATAAGCACGCTAATTAAACTGGTTAATTTAATTAATGCAAATGCGCTAATAAACAACACACTGATTAAGTGAATTGATTTTCATGTTAATTGATATTATCAATGACTGTTCCCGTAATAGGCGGCAATTTTAATTTAAAGAGCTGGAAATCTCAATTACAATCTCATTTGCAGTGTTCAATTCTAACATTATTGTACTTGTGTATACAGACAAAGTTGTTATCTTAATACTTTACTCAATACTCTACCCATACTCATACGTATTCCATCGTGCGACATTATTATATAGCACTTTGCACGGAAAACTTTTCTGCTTTTCAATATATAAAAAAGCGAACCACAACAAAAACTAACCCATTTAGAGCCAATTACATGAGAAATATAATATTCTGTCAGCGTACAGACCGTTCCCTTATCAAATGAAGTTATTTTTATTGACTAAGCAAGTCAAAAGGGGATTTTGAAAAAGGCATGTACATTAAAGAATTCTTAGCTAAACGTAACCCATTGAAGATAATGCAGCACTGCATCGTTGAGTGTTATTTACCCAAGCACACATTCAATTGGCGTCGGATTGTTACAAATGCATTTTTATATGCATTATCTAAGCGGCTAAACCGCAGTATTATGCTGCGAATGCCAGGCCATTCATATGATTATTGCAAAACTTGTAGCTAACTCGAAGTTTGTTCTGTATCCATTCAAGTCTGTACCCCACCATGATGCGTTTCCAAGTTCTTGCAACTTAACACAGTTTCATGCTGTTTTGGGGCGTAACACTTGAGTCAGATAACTTTCTGGCTTTGGTGAGGTCCTGGAAATCTGCAGAACGTCTGCATGCTCGACATTTGCCGGAACGGTGTCATAAAATGGTGTTGTGTTGTATATATGTGCGTGTGCGTGTGTGTGTGTGTGTGTGTGTGTGTGTGCTGACAGCATTTGTTGCCAACAATTTCATTAACGCGCATTTAAAGTTTTACCAGCACACATGCACATATAGCAAATGAGACAGTCGCATATACACATTCATTTCTATGGTTGCCAGAAAAATCTACCCGTCCACCCGCCTGGTAAAATAACCCCTGTACATGTGCACATGGCACTGAGCTCGTTATAAATGGAAAACTTTTGCGACTTGCTCAAGTGGTTTTCTTCTTTTATATTTTTCTTTTTTTTTCTGTATTTTGCTTTTGTTTTTCGTTGGCTCTTCTGTTGCTGCTGTCGCTGCTGTTCTTATTCGCTTTTGATTTTGCAACTTTTACTGGTTTATTTTACTTTTTAATGAGAACAGACTTTGAGACCTTATGTCCATGGACGCAGACACCTGACTGCCGCGCTGTGTGTTGTGCCAGTTGTTTGCTTGACGATTAGCCATATGAAATGGAAGAGGGAAAACTTTACCAACGCGTGCGTCCAATTCAAATGCCCCACAGCCACCACAATTTTCTCAAACAAAGTTTTACTACAAATTTGTCAAGCAGTGCTTAAAAATGCGTGCAACAGTTGATATAGTTTACCAGCAAGCTTGAACAACTTTATAGCTCTAACGCAATGGGATGGATGTCAGATCTCTGTAAAAAATTGATTTCTACAACTTTTTTGTTGCCCTCGTTTTAGCTATTCGGAATCTCTCTTTCAAGTGGCTGGGATAACACACAATCGAGTGTTTTTAATTTGAACTTTTTCTGGCGCATTCGCATATCAATGACTGGACAAGGCATTCAAGCGTAAGTGGCAAACAGACGCTGCCACAGACCACAAACCGAACACCACATTGAAATATACATACGTAGCATATACGTATGTAATTCTGGCAACTAAACAACTTCTATTGAAAACTTGGCATACAGCTAACCAATTTATTTTCCTGCAATGCAGTGATTTATAAATTTTGATTAAATTCCTGGTGACCTTTTGGCAAAAGATATGAACTCATTCAATGGCACACGCTTCATCAATATTCATCTAGCATTTACTTTTTTTCATTTCTGATTATTTTGAATATTTGCGGCCATTTGAAAGCCATCGCTATACCATTTGAATATTGAAATATGTAAATTGATCTGTCATGAATAGCATATGAAAAATAAACAAAATATGATTAAATGATAGCTGCAAGTTTGAATACCCTGTACGGTAAGAATGGAAAATGAATGTCTAATTGGCGTTGTTTGACGTTAGCTGACAGTTGAAATACCCTGTAGCGTTAAGCCATGCCCAACTTTGTTTTAAATTAAAGAATATGTTTGATTCTGTGAAATACTAGTTAGTATTACCCGGCATTGTCTGGCTCTTACAGCAAGTTGCAGTATAAATTATTGTTCGTGCTGTAAGTTTGGGCCAACTTCAGACAAACATGTTAGTTTCTAGCTTAAAAAGAGGCAAATGAAATGCTCAATACGTGAACTGATTGCTAAAAATAATAATTTTTTATACGCCAACCACATGCCTTGAGCTACTGAATACCCGTTTGCCAAGCTGACGCTCAGACAGCTAAGCTACGCAGGATCTGCACAAAGGAAGCACTACTCGCTACACGAGAGCTATGCACAGTTTCTCTTTAACTGGCAAATGTGGCTATATAAGTGATTAACTTTTCCTTAGCTTTTTTGCAAGCTTAAAAAAATAAATAGCTGTCATAATCTGCCGGCACTAAAAACACACGCCCACGCAAACAAACACACTTGTGTGTGCGTATGTGAATGGCAAATATGCAGTTCGCGCGTACCCTTTTTCCATGGCCTGTGTTTGTCTTTTGCTGCAGCTACAAATGAAAATGTTAAACTTTCAAGTAAATTTGCACAAGCATCAAAAGCCAGCAGATACGTTCCAACATGGCATATATACAAGTATATATGGGTGTGCGTGTGTTGTAGCCAATATAAGCCAGGGCTAAGCTGCTGAGACTGTTGCAAGATTGTGCCGCTCTGAGCATTTCAGCAAAAAGTCGAAGTTCGTAACAAGCGCCAAACAGAAGAGAACAATTTTTCAGCTCACATTCGTAACTCAATTGCGCCATTAAGCTAATTGCCATTACGTAAACGCGTGCCCAGAAAAGTATGCAACGGTTGGCGTTTCTGCAATGTTAAGCCGATTATTGCCACAGATGAAGACGCACAGACAGACAGCCAAGGCACAGACTTTAACTGGCCACAAAACTCGATTCACGTTTCAAACTTCAAATTTTGTGCGCTGCATAAATTGCAAATGTCGCAAATCTGCTTGTCGGTAACTTATCAGAGCAGAAATAAGGAAGGGATCGAAAATGAAAAAGGGTGTTAGATAAAAAGCACGACTAATTAATTTAAAGCGCTCACGCAATCAGCTTTTTGTGCTAGCCATTCTGTCATTCTGCCAGTCTGTCAGTTTGGCATTAAGCAGCCCAGACACTCGCGCAAAAGCATTCTATATTTTGAATACCCTGTGACCATAGAAATAATAGGTAAGCGAGGTTTTGTATCGATTTATGTAACATGCATACGAAGACAACTTTTTGGTATATACGCGTTTATACCACAACGCCACCCAGCACCGAAGACATTTATGACTAGATATCCTATGGTAATGGGTACAGGGTAACTTCTAGTCAGACCAACACTTAAGCTTCTCTTGATTTAGGTATCTTGCATCCCGCTCACGCATGGCTTTCATCACTGCAGCTGAAATGTGACATTTATTAATGTGAACGGAACAGCAACACAAACAACAACAACAACCAGAAGAACGACAACAACTGCGAGCAATTGTCAGCTTTATGGGTTGTGGGCGTGGCAACATTGGCAACGCAAGTGGAATTAAATACGCATTTGCGCTGTCAGCTTCAGCCATTACTCGGCACAGGAGCCCAGCCAAAGCGCTACAAAGAGATTTAACGTATAACCCCAGTCCAAAGCTCGTCGTTAAACGTGCCATAAAACTTTGCCGAAGAAGTTACTGTTGCTGCAACAGAGAGCCAAAAGATGTTCAAAGTGCGAAGGTGCTTGAGGCATATTATGAAATTGACATTAAAGCGACTACAGCAGCAATGCGACTCAAGTCAGTTATTAAAGCTTATGCCGGCAGTTTATGGCATTGTCGGCGGCATGTGCCACGGCTAGGTACGGATTTACTTGCCTCTCAAGTGCGCTGCTTGGACACTTCAGACAGACAGATACTCGACAAATGCTCTTGGCAATGATTGAAACCAATTTCTTTTGAAGGCAACCAAGCTCACTTCAAAACTGAAGA